GGGGGACTCGTCACTGGTTTCGCCCCTCTGAAGGCCACGCACAGATGGAGAGGAGACCAGAACCTTGAGGATTTTCCTTCCACCTGCTCCCCGCGCCCAGCATCCCTAGCTGGCATTAGTACTAGAAGCACTCGAAGAATCTTGAAGGCCTTGGAGTTGGAGATGCCAAAGAACATTGCCAACAGGCATGCATGGATCTCTCAGCATCCACATCATGCGCTAATAAGAGAGCATCAGCCAAGGAAACCATGTCCCAGACGGAGTGGGAATAGTGGCAACCATGTAGCAGGAACAGGCTGGGGGCTTGGTGGGAGGATGTGAGAAACGGCGTGGCGCTTTCTCTGCAACTGTACCATGATGAGGGTCTCTTGGGGACCGGCACACAGCCTCACCGGAGGAAGAGGGGACCTGGGGAGGGGGCCTGTAGACTCTGGGGCCTCGTGCAACAATGCCTCTGCGAGGAAAGGGATCCCCAGGGCCTTGGTACCAGAGTACTCTCGGCAACAGAAACCCTGTATTAAAATGCCTTGTGGGAAAACGGAAATGTGTTATTGCGTGGCTTAGCAAGATTCCGGAGTGATGAGGTTGGAGACCAAATCTTTTCCATCTCTGCTGTGTCCCTGCTTGGTGCCAGCTTCATGCTCAGGCTGGAGCTGGGCTGGCTGCAGCAGTCCAAGCATCCCAACCAGACACAGACATGTCCAGAGGAGAGAGAAGGAGCGTCCTCTTAGGAGACAGGAAACTTTCCTGAGAAGCAAGCCCCTCCTTCCAGGCCGCTGTTCATGGCTCATTGTTCCAATGGGGTCACTCACACAGTCCCAAATCACATATTGGCCTGGGGACCTTGGACCACCCAGGATTCCCTGGGACCTGGGGCTGGCTCAGCCTCCTCTGAAGCTCCTTGCAGCTTGGGACAAGGAAGGATACCTGAATAAAATGGGAGGAAGAAGGGGAGAATGGGTGCTAGGTAGGCAGCCAATGGCTAATGGCTCTTAACTGAGGGGCTAACGTGAGGACAAACAGCCAGTCTGGCCAGGAGGCAAACTGGGTGATGGCCCCAACCCAGGGCATTCAAGAAGCCTGCCCACCACCCCTTCCTGCCCGCACCCTGGCGCCAGAGTCCCACGCTCCCATCTGCTGCTGAGAAGGCAACAATGAAAGATTGCCCCAAGTTGTCCTGGGAGATGAGGCATAAGAATAAATCTGATAGAGCAATGACAGCCTGGGCTTCTCAGCGGGACAGAGGTGGAGGACAGTGCTGTGGAGAGGGGAGGAAGCCAGGCTGGACAAAGGGGTGCCGGGCCTCCAGGCCTTGCTTTGTGACCTTGGGCAAGAGAAGAATGTCTTGTGCCTCAGTTTCTTCATTCGTAAAAGAAGAGAGTCAGACGACTTTTTTTTTTTTTCCTGAGATGGAGTCTCACTCTGTTGCCCAGGCTGGAGTGCAGTGGTGCAATCTTGGCTCACTGCAGCCGCCACCTCCCAGGTTCAAGCGATTCTCCTGCCTCAGCCTCCCGAGTAGCTGGGATTATAGGCGCGCACAACCACACACGGCTGATTTTTTTTCTTTTTCTTTTTCTTTTTTTTTTTTGAGACAGAGTCTCTCTCTGTTGCCCAGGCTGGAGTGCAGTGGCATGATCTTGGCTTACTGCAAGCTCCGCCTCCTGGGTTCATGCCATTCTCCTGCCTCAGCCTCCCGAGTAGCTGTGACCACAGGTGCCAGCCACATCGCCCGGCTAATTTTCTTGTATTTTTAGTAGAGATGGGTTTTCGCCATGTTAGCCAGGATGGTCTCGATCACCTGATCTCATGATCCACATGCCTCGGCCTCCCAAAGTGCTGGAATTACATGCGTGAGCCACTGTGCCTGGCCCCTGATTTTTGTATTTATACTAGAGATGGGGTTTCACCATGTTGGCAAGGGTGGTCTCGAACCTCTGACCTCAAAGTGATCCCCCTGCCTTGGCCTCTCAAAGGGTTGGGATTACAGGCATGAGCCACCGGGCCTGGCTGGATGAGTTGTTTTCTAGAATGCCTTCCAGCTCAAACACTCCGCAATTTTGGGAATCTGAGAATGATGAGATTAACTGGGAGGCAAGGGAGAAGGTGGGACAGAAATTGGTTTATAGTATCATTTAAATAGCCAAACAGAGGAATCTAGAAGCCGATTTCAGTAGGGGCAGCTAACTTCCCCTCAATTTGTCTAAGCCAGAAAGAGGGAGTCTGCAGCATTAGTTTGTGGCATGTGAGAGGCCCATTAATAAAAAAGCCACATGTGCTCAGGGGAAAGCAAGTTACATGGAAGGACAAGGACGGTTGTAGGCTTGCAAAGGAGCATTCGCTGCCATGCAGGGTGAATCCAATGAAGAAGGAACTGAGGGCAAAGGGGAAGAGCAGGGAGGTAGAGAAGAGAGAATGGAAGACAATGGATGGAGGGACTCGGGAGTGTGGCGTCTCAGCCCAGCTCATCCTAGCTCAGCAGGACTGCAGAGATGTCCACTGTTCCCCATGGTGAGAATTGGGTGCCCTTTGTTGCTTAGTCTTTGGGTTCCAGGAGGCTCCGGGACCCAGGGACAGACAGGAGGGGAGTTGGAGCAGGGGGATACAGGAGACTCGATGGAGGCCGAAGGCAGTGGCCTGATCCAGTGTCTCTGTGGAGAGTGGGAAGGTGTTGAGCTATGGTACCTGCCAGATGGTAGTGGCTGAATAAAAGTGGGAATAAAGCAAAGAAGCAAGGCAAGGAGGGGAAGAAGCAGCAAGAGAGGGAGGGAGAGAGGGAGAGGGAGGAAGAAAGCATACAGCAGCCAGGTGGTTTTGTGATGCAGGTGAACTTGGACTCGACTAGACAAACTTTGTTGACTGTTTTGCTCTGTAATTACCTTTTAAAGAGATTATCCAGAGCTGGCTCACCCAGTTCCCCTCATAGGCCTCCTGGCCAAACATGTAGCAAAACTGGGTAGGAAATAAGGCCATCCACCATGCCTGTAGCCCCCTGTCCTTACCACTCCCTGGAGCCTTGCTTAGTTCAGTCAACACCTGCTTCCTGAGCACCTGCTGACATCTGTCTGGAGCTGAGAGCACAGCCCCTGCCCTCAGGAATGCTATCTTCTGACACTGGCCGTTTGCAGAGCACTTTTACAGACTTCTGAGGCAGGGACTGCTGCTTCTCTTTTACAGATGCAGAAATTGTTGCTTACTTGGAGGGATTCACGTGCCTGGGATCACTCAGCACATAGTGTAGGGCTGGGATCTGGACTCTGGGTTTGGTGTTCATGCTTTCAAGGTCTTTCCCCAACACCTCGCTATCTCACACTGCTTACACTGCCTGGAGAGCTTGAAAACCCTGCGACAGCATCCCTCCATCCAGCCTTGGAGGGGCCGGCGTCCCAGGGCTGGCTAGGAAAGAGGCAGGCTGTAAGCAGTCGGTCCCATGGAATGTTGCTCTCACAGGGTCTCCCGTGGGACCCTCACAAGGATGCCATCAGTTGAAAGAGGAGGCTTGGAAGGGGCAATGTTGAGTCGCCAGTGATGGAATGTCTGGTTTCAGTGAAGGAACTTGCTTTGTAATGGGACTGTGTGTGGACTTCTAGCCCTGTAACACCACTCCTCCCAGGAGGCCCCCACCTGCCTTCCTGGCCCCCCTCAGGGCCCTGGCACAGTACTGAGTATATAGTCAATTGCACTTACTAGGGTTTGTTTGTTTGTTTGTTTGTTTGTATTGCCAGGGACCCCGCATACATTAACATAGTGTAGTATTATCTCCTTAGATTGCAAGCTCCTCAAGGACAGGTGGCTTCTGTCTTTCCACTCCTACCACCTCCACCAAGATACCCAGCTTTCCCCTCCCCATAGGCTGCGAACATTGTGTCCATTTATTGGGTAGTGGGCAGATTTCAGCCAGAAGTTAACTCAAGTCAAGCAGATGTCTTGGGGGCCAGTCACATGACAAGCCCCATAACAGATGCTGTGCAGAATGTAGAGATTAAGGTCCTGTGTGTTCTCTACCCTGAGAAGCTTGCAGTTTAATAGGGAAGATGAAAATGTGGGCACACAACTGTGCTGACCTCTTCCCTGACTTTCAGGCCCTGCATGGCATGACCCCTGTCACGTGTCTGATGGATTGCTTTCTCCAGCCCCACCCCTTATCTCCCCTCCCCTCCCTCTAGGAATGGTCCAACTCTCCACCTTCTAGTCTTTGTTCCTGCAGTTCCATGCTCTGGAATGCCTTTCCCTCTTGCCAGCAACTCCCCATCCTTCAGTACTCAGTTCCAGTGCAGCATCCTCCATGAAAGACTTTCTCGATTGCCCAACCAGATGTTTCCCTCTTTGGAACCCATCCCCGGCAAGACCTTTGTGGACCTGCCACACTCTGTCTCATGTTCCCCTTATTCGTGCCCTGTCTCCTCGTACCTCCCTTCCCCATCCTGCTGTAATCACAGGAATAGGCTCCTACTCATCTTTGGGCTTTGAACTTACCGTGTGCTTCATACCTACTCACCAAGTTGTACAGTACAAAGTGGACTAATATGAGGCACATTTAGGAAGAAACAATATCGTGGGGTCTTGCAGGAGGAAATGACCTTCAACTGAGCCTTATAGAATGGGCAGATGGGGGGCAGTGGCCAGGTTCCTTTCTCTTCTTGACATAAGCAGCCCTACCCGCCTCTTGAGGATTCCTGGGAGCAATGGCAGTTGCTTATTTCCCTGGAGCAGAGAAAAAAGGGTACACTTGAAGTCATTTGGGGCCCAAAGGGCCAGCTCAAGGCTTGAATCGCAGAGCAGCCTTTGCCACTATTATGTGTCTTGGGTGAGTACCTGACTATTGGATGCAGTAGAGCTGGCCCAGAGACAGGACATGGGCCAAGGGCGATGAAGATGCACTCTTATTTCCCTTTCTTTTGCTTTCTCTTTTCTTCTTCCGTCCTCTTCTTTTCTCCCTCCCCTCCCTTCCTTCCTCTACACCCATCACTCCCTCCCTCTGCCTGCTTCCCGGCCTCTCCCAGCTCTCCTCGGCCCTGCTGTTTGATGCTGTCTATGCTGTGGTGACTGCGGTGCAGGAACTGAACCGGAGCCAGGAAATCGGCGTGAAGCCCCTGTCCTGTGGCTCCGCCCAGATCTGGCAGCACGGCACCAGCCTCATGAACTACCTGCGCATGGTGAGGAGCGGCTGAGGCCCTACAGGGCCGTGCCCAGGCTGGTGGGGTGGGACACGTGGTTCAAGGTACAATAATCCCTCAACTCCAGGCTTCCCCAAAACGTGCCTTTTATTACAGCCCCAGATAAATCAGTGTTCTCTAGTGACCCCAGTTGAATGGATCATGAGCCACATTTGTTCCCTAAGCCCCAATAACCACTGAGAATCCATGGAAGTTTGTTCAGAAGGCAACAGCCCTCGAGCCTTATGCTGTTAATGGGCCCCTGAATTCCAGACTTAGCACCTGGCCTGTCTGCTCAGCAGTGTTCTCAGCAAAGCTCCACACAGCTGGGAAAGGGCGGTGCTGATGGAGACTGGCGTCCCTGTGGGAGTTGCAGGCTCAAGACTTCTAGCTTGGCTGGGTTTCCCATTGTTGTCCTCCCCAGCCATGCCTCCTCTGGTGGATGAATGTGGATCTCTACCCCACACAGAAGGCTTCTGTCAGAGAAGCCTGCTGCAGCACAATGTCTCGGACTTTGCATTTAGAGTTAGGTGGAGAGTCATCCTGACTTCCTGTGGGCCTGGGGGTGGGTGAGCGCCTGCCCAGAGAGGATGAATGCTGTGGACAGCCAAGGGCCTGGAGGAGGGGCCAAGAGGAATGTGAGCTCAAGTTAGCACCATGACTGGGTTGGTTTGTGCAGTTGGTATGGCGTTATTGGGGAAGCATTCTTCTCCTACTCCAGGCCAAGCCAAGTCTGAATTGTCTCTGCAGACATCACATTTGTCATCTCAAGATGCCTTGGCTGTGGGTGGGCAGGAGAAGGATCTTAACTGCTTTGCCTCTTCAGGGCATCCTTAAATAGCCCCTGTGTAGAAATCTTGCTTGGGGGCAAGTGTAACCTGGGGCCTGTTTGGTGCTGTAACTCACTCTCTCTTGGACAGGTAGAATTGGAAGGTCTTACCGGCCACATTGAATTCAACAGCAAAGGCCAGAGGTCCAACTATGCCTTGAAAATCTTACAGTTCACAAGGAATGGTTTTCGGCAGGTAAGCACAGCTGTGCCGTGGTGATGGCAGGTCCTCCTCTCTGTTTCCTTCTCTGACCCCAGCCCATTTCATCGATGCCTTTGGTGTTTTGGATGGCCTCCTACTCCCAGTTATCCCCAAGAGCAGCAGGTTGGATCCTGGGCAAGGCTCCTGGCCTGCACCAGCCTCCCCCTTCCTGCCACCAGATCAGTCACTGTGGCTCAGGGACTACACCCCCAGCAAAATACCAAGAGGGAGAGAACTGGGATGAAAGGGGAGGCAAGGGGGTGTCATGTAAGGGAGGAATTCCCAGGGAGGATTTTACTCCCTGAGTCGGACCCTAATCCTGGAGCCCATTTAGACTCCAGGGAGCCTGCTGGCAAGGCAGAGACTGTATCTCATGTGGGCCAAGGAAACCTTCAGTGTTGGAGTGCATGGCTGGGTGTCTCCTGTCTGCCCTTCTCTGACCAACCCACAACTCCCACCCCCATGCCAATGGCACAGCCCCTCTCCTGGCCGCTCCCTGCCTGCTCCGTCATTGCAGGGATGCCTTGTCCTTCATAGTTCCTTTCAGCTCCCCACTCCTTTGCTCATTCTCCACCATTACCCTTTTTCACCACCACCACCATCATCATCACCACCACCACCATCATGATCATCATCACCACCACCACCACCATCACTACCACCACCATCACCACCACCACCACCACCACCACGATCACCACCACTGCCATCACCACTACCACCACCATCATTACCACCACCATCACCACTACCACCAACACCATCACCATCATGACCACCACCACCACCACCATCATCACCACCACAAATGATCACCACCACCACCACCACTGTCATCACTACCACCACCATCACCACCATCACCACCACCACCATCATCACCATCACCACCACTGCACCAGTACCATCACACAACCATCACCACCACCACCATCACCACTACCAACACCACCATCACCACCACCACCACCATCACCACCACAATCACCACTACCATCACCACTACCAACATCACCATCACCACTACCATCACTACCACCATCATCACCACCATTGCCACCACCACCGCCACCACCACCATCACCACCACAAACGATCACCACCACCACCACCGTCATCACCACCACCACCATCACCACCATCATCACCATCACCACCACCACCATCATCACCATCACCACCACTGCACCAGTACCATCACACAACCATCACCACCACCACCACCATCACCACTACCAACACCACCATCACCACCATCACCACTGCCACCATCACCACCACAAACGATCACCACCACCATCACCACTACCACCACCATCACTACAACCATCACCACCAAAACCACCACCATCACTACCATCATCACCACCACCACCACCATCATCACCATCACTACCACCATCATCACCACCATCACCACCACCACCACCACTGCCACCACCATCACCACCACCACCAGCACCCTCATCACCACCACCATCACCACCACCACCATCACCATCACCACCATCATCACCATCACCACCACCACCATCACCACCACTACTGCAACCACCATCACCACCACCATCACCACCACCATCATCACCATCATCACCATCACCACCACTGCACCAGTACCGTCATACCACTACCACCACCATCATCACCACCACTACCATCACCACTACCACCACCACCATCACCACCACCACCACCACCATCACCACCACCATCGCTACTGCCATCATCACCACCAACACCACCATCACCACCACCACCTCACCACCACCACCACCATCACCACCATCACTACCACCACCACCATCACTACCATCACCACCACCATCATCATCACCACCACCATCACTAACACCATCACCACCATCACCACCACCACCACCCCCACCACCATCACTACCATCACCACCACCATCTTCATTACCACCACCATCACCACCACCATCACTACCACTGTCACCACCACCACCATCACCACCACCACCACCATCACCACCATCATCACCATCACCACCACTGCATCGGTACCATCACACCACCACCACCATCATCACCACCACCATCACCATCACCAGCATCACCACCATCACCACCACTGCACCGGTACCATCACACCACCACCCCACCATCATCACCACCACCACCACCATCACCACCACCACCAACACAGCAACCACCATCACCACCACCGCCATCACTACCATCACCAGCACCACCACCATCACTACCATCACCACCACGACCACCATTACCACCCACCACCACCATCACCATCACTACCACCATCACCACCACTACCGTCACCACCACCATCATCACCACCACCATCAGTACCACCACCACCACGATCACCACCACCAGCACCATCACCACTACCACCACCACTGCCAACATGCTCACCACCAGCACCACCACCACCACTGCCACCACCACCACCATCACCACCACCAACACCACCGTCATCATCATCACCACCACTATCCCCATCATCACCACCACTACCATCACCACTACCATCATCACCACCACCACCCCCACCAGCATCATCATCACAACCACCATTGTCATCATCACCACCACCACTACTGTCATCACCACAACCACCACCACCAATATCATCATCACTACCACTGCAATTGTCATCATCATAGCAGCCTCCATTTATTAGGCTCTTGCCATGGGCCTTATACCATGTTAAGTGTGTCATATATATTTTCTCTTTTAACCCTACAAAATAGATACTTTTTATTAGTCCCAGTTTTATACTTGAAGAAACTGAGGCTCAGGGGGACTGAGTGACTTATCCTTGAACAAACAGTAATGACAGAGCTGGTTTTGGACCCAAATAGATCTACCTCTAAAGTCTAAGTCCTTAACCATTACAACAAATTATGCATCAGAATCGCCTTGGAAATGCATTAAAAACACAGATTTTAAAACTCTACTTCACAAGAGGCTAGTTGGGGAGGCCTATGATAGGCCCTGGGAACTGATGCAGTCGTCAAGCCCCCAAGGTGATTCGAATGAAGCCCTACCCCGCGGAGGCCCTGTCACATCTGCCTCCTGCTTCTGGGTCCCCACATCTGATAGGCTCCGATCAGCCCTCCTTAGAAGTCCAGTGGAGTTCTTTCTAGGAGATCTTAATTATGCTGGGTCCCGAGGTCAGGTCACCCTTCTTGGAAGGCGAGGCAGTAAAAGGAAAGAGTCCCAGACAGAGGGGAGCCCAGAGTCCTGCTGCTGACTCTCTGCAAAGCCTCGTATCTCTGGGCCAGAGTTGCATTGCCTGTAAGCAATAACAGCTACCACTTTGCATAATTTCTCAAATGGGAGCAGGGTTAGGTAGGCAGCCAGAAACTACGGGGATGGCGTTTCACAAAATGGCCATTTTATTCATCTAACAAGTCATATATTGAGCGTACACTATGCATCAGCTACCGTGCTGGGCCTGGGGGAAACGAAGCTGAAAAACATTCAGCCCTTGCATGGAGAGAGTGCTCACGGTCGGTCCAGGGAGCCTGACATAGAAAACCGTAAGTGCAAATTTGGGTTATTACACTCAGATTGTGCCCTCAGGCTTCTAATTACCTGAATAGGTGAAGCTGCCAGCCTGTGGAGAAATTGTCAGACACACTTTTCTCTGAGTCCCAATGTGCTTGGGGGATGTGAAGTGAAGAATATTCATTCATTCTTTCAAGACATCTTTGTTGAGTGCCTATTATGTGCCAGACTCTCTTCTAGGTATAGGTTTTTTAAGACGAAGAAAGCGGCTGCTTTTGTGGAGCCTGTATTCTAGTAGGGGACAGGCAGTGGGCAAACAAATGTATATGTGACATAGTGTCAGGAGTGGTAAGCGGAGAAAGAAAAAGGGGACAGGAGAAGGGGGTGGAGATGATAACAGTGGAGGAACAGTTAGGAGAACATGATGCTCACTCCATAGAAAGCCTGATCCCAGGCTTTGAAACACTCCCCTTAGACCTCAGCCCTGCTTTGTGAGTGCTTCGGGGAAAGAGCCCACTTCCAGCATCCCTCCATCAAGAGACACCTGCAGTGGCAGAGCTGGCTGGTAGCCCTGATCCCACTCTCCACTTGAAGGACAGCTGATTAGGCTCCAAGTGCCTCTTCATCTTTATTCTGCTGCTCCAGCAGCCGCTGCTCAGGCTGGCTTGTGCTCGCCCCGAGGCCAGAGGACTGCCTGAGTTATTAAGAAACAGCGTCATCAGCCCCAGCCCCCAGGGCTCATCCTTCAGCCCCCGACCCAGGCCAGCAAGGGATTGTGCCCTGAATCCTCCATAGCGGCTGCAGTTTCTTCAGCAGCGGCACACATGAGCAGTGCAGGGCAAAGCTTCTCAAATATATACGTGCACCAAAATGACTGAGAGTGCTTCATAAAAATTGAACGCTCCCGGGCCTCACAGCTATAAATTCCAGTTTAGTAAAACAGGATATATTCCAGAAATCCGCATAATTTTAACCAGCACCAAGATAGATGATAACAGTGCAGCTGGTCCACAGACTACCCTTTGACAAATACTGTCCTAGTAGAAGAGTGTTCGTGAACTGCAGCCTCTACACAGAGATTTTTTTCTTGACCTCTCCACATCCTACCCCCATCTTTTTGAGCCAGTGTTGGATGGAATCTGCTGCAGAAGTGACCATTAAAGAGGATGTGCTTTGACCTTCAACTACTCTAAGGGACACATATATTTGATTGGACTTGTAAAGTGGATGGTCATTATTCTCTTTATGTCCTGCCCCCTCTTTTTTTTCAACAAATCTAGTGAGCATCCTGCTGCTTCCCTGTCTGGTGTAGGTGCCGTGAGTACCAAGTGAAAACTGTGCGTGATGTATCATGGACACAGATGTAGCTTCGCAGCTTTGGTCCCCAGGTCCCTTCCCAATCACCGCCCAATCTTTGCCTCTTGACAGGTGTCCTTCCCCTGCTTATTACAGGATGAAGAAATGGTTTAGGGAGTGATAATTAATTGGGCCTCTCT